GTTTTAAGATCATTGTAAAGCCAAATGTTTAAATACTGACTGTTTTAACTTACTTCCAATAGTCTGCAGTAACTGGGAGAAAGCCTGAATCTTTTCTCTGTAACTTCTTAAAAAGTTCTTAGATGATTGAAAAGTTTTTTGTCAAAGTCTTGGTTAACTTGGTGTACAAGACCCTGGTGAAATTCTCTTGCAATCTGGGGTTTCTCTGATTTGTGGTGTTGGACAGGTTTTCTAAGAGTGAAAAATAAACCTGTAGGCCATTTGCTTGCCATGAAACCATGCAGAAATAGGATTTGGAAATATTTTGGTTTACATGTCTGATACAAAGGTTGGAGGAAAGGGAATAGATGTCAAGCATTGGAATAGAATGCTCTGAAAAGTGCCTTGGGTCTGAATATCTTTCTGTTTTTTGGGAAAACGTAATTTCCACCTGATGTGGAGCAGGTTCTGTCTGTGTTTTGCATGTGATCAATTGTTGCTTAGCCAGGACCTTTCTCTGGCACCCAAATTTTTGCTCTTCTGTGGATCTGGACTTGTCTGAAAGGATCCTACAACTATCCCAAGGGCCAGATCTAACAGTTTTTTTCGATTTACCTTTTTTAAAACGTGCTTAGAAGTAAAATTATGTTCCCTACCAAGTGAAATATCATTATTAGTCTGTGCTAAATCCTGCTTTTGCCTGTCTGCAAATAGTTCTGAGGTGGAGGTTTTTTCTGAGATGGGATTTGCATGATCAGTTGCAAGAAAAACACAGGTATTTGCATTCCTATTCCACTTCCAGATCTTCAACTTGTCCTAAATAAATGAAGGGGCGTTTTGATTTGGTTTTTAATAAGTATTTTTATAGTTACCTGAAAAGCCTGAAATGAGGAATGAGTTACAAACACCCATCCAGTTTTTTCTGTGTGCTGAAAAAGAGTTAGAAATCTTTGAAAAAACTTTGTGCAAAGCTTTTAATTGACATTTAAAATGTTTATAAGTACTTTACTCATAATTAGTGTCTAAATTTGTCAGCTCATATGGCATAGCTGCAGCTTCTTAGATCAGAAATACTTTCTGTTTTTTATCCAGCTGCTTTCCTGTAAAGGGCTGAATTATTCTAGCTTTTATGGGTCATTGTTAAACATGGCAGGAAGGGTCATTGTTAAAAATGTTTTCAGAACTTTGATAACTGGTTTATCAACTGATTCACATGTTTAATCAGTTAATAGGTTTTCCTTTTCAGTGCATGGGAATTTCTTTGTTTATCTTAACTGAGTAACTGTTTCTACAGTGGAAAGAACTGTAGTTGACTGATAATCTTTTCAAATATGTGGAGTTTGCTCTTGTGACACAACTTGCATGGACAGATCTTGCACTGCTACTCCTAAGTCTGTGTTTGTAGGGAAAGGTCCATCAGAACAAGGGTTTGCATGTGCATGGGAGCCCAGATGGTCTGGAATTCTGGGAATACAGGACATGGAGCAAAAGTCATCAGGCATTTTATGATAAGGCTTTTGAAGGTGTTTATTAAAAAAAAAGAGGGACATTGAGAAATGCCAAACATCTGTGGTTCCTCCAATACCTTGACAAGAAGTTTTTCTGCAACATTTTATCAAAAGTGTCAAAAGGCACACGTTCAGCTTGAAATATCTCTGAGAATCACCATCCTGTGCCTCTCTGGGCACCTGTCTGAAGGCTGCACCACCTTTCTGCTGAAAAGCTTTTTTGCTAATCTCCCATCTGAGCCTGCCAAGGCGCAGGTTTTGATGTTGCCCCTTGTTCCAGCATCTGCCTCAAGCAAGAAGTTTGGCTCTGTCATCACTATAATTTCTCTCCAAGTGAGGGAGTTGTATCTATCTCCTCTTCGATAAGCTGTTATTAAATCTCTTCATCAGGCCCAAGAGGCCAAGGCCACACTCAGATGAAGGCCTCACTTGCAGAGAGTGCTCTTGGCTCATGTTCAGCTTGAAGCAGGTTTTTTTCTGCCATCCCCATTGTAATAAGGCCAGTCTGCTCCTGTGTTTACAAACAAACTCGAGGCCAGGCAGAACTGTAAACTTTATTTTGCTTTTTTCAGAAAATACATTCAATGATGTAAAGCACGATTTGGCATGGATTAATACACAGCAATAAAGTTGCAAAATTTGAGTTTATCTAACATTTATCTGCCTTGCAATTGGAGATATTTGGAGAGCCCTGCAACCCTCAGTTGGGTTTGCAGAATGGTGTTCATGGACTCAGAGCAGCTCCTGAGAATTGACATCTGTGAGAAAGAGCAGCTTGTTCTGTGTATTTTGGATTTTTAGATATATTCATCCCTGTTGCTACATGAAGGAAACGTGTTGAGATGAACACAAGCCCAAGTAAAACTCAAATCACACTGGAAACCCAGACCATGGGGGTTTTATTGGGATGTCCCGGGCTGAGGAAGGCACTGCACACATTGTGGTTCACATCTCAACTCTAAATTTCTCCCATAAACAGCAGAGAGGTGAAATTCTTGGATTAGACTTAAGAAAGGAGTTTTTTCAATGGGGATGGTGAAGCAGTGGCACAGGTTGCCCAGAGGGGTGGTGCATGCCCCCTCCCTGGAAGTGTCCAAGACCTTGTTGGATGGGAATTAGCAGAAAGTGCCTCTGCTCATTGCCTTTAGGAGGTGCCTTCCAACTCAAACTATTCCATGATTGTATGAAATGAAGTCTATTCTGTCCTGTTGAGAGAGTGCTGGGAATGCTGATGGAGAGCCTTGGCTGGGAAACACAACTGGGCCTGGATATGTCCCAGGAAAAAGGTCTCTGCTGGAGCCTGCCAGTGCTGGGTTGTGTTAAAGCAGGGCAGGACAGTGCTGCCATCCAAAGACTCTGTCCCTGAGCAGGGAGGAGGCTGCAGGGATTTGTTCTTCCCTGTGGCCACCAAAAAGCAGGAGCTGATGGGAGGGAAGCAATGGAATCTTGTGGGTGACAAGAAAGCAGAAGGTTGGGTTAAGGCAGTTGTAAAACTCGTGTTGATTCAGCCACTGCTTCATATGGAACATTAATTCAGTGTTTTATTTGATAAAGCAAAATTTCCTGAGCCTTGAGCAGGATATTCAAATGTGGATACTGAAAACCAGGGATGCCAATCCTGCTTATGCTGTTTGAGTAGTTACCTGTTAGAAAAAATATTTTATCAAAAAAGATGCTTATTTTAAAAATACTGCTGTGAAATGTGGGCAAGATAAATGAAGTGCTACATTTGAAACCTTTTTTTTTTTTAATTGATTGTCATTTTTCTGTTCTCTTTTACTAAAAATCTCCTCTGCAGTGGAGAGCCAGGAGCAAATACGATCGTCCAATTTGTTGCTGGAGCTTTCTAAAATTTAAACCCAATTCATTAGGTACAACATAGGTGTAGAGCGTGGGCAGTCATTAGGATTTCAACAGCAAATAATGCAGCCCATGAAACATCAGACTTATTTCCTTCTCATATAAAACACAGTAATGGATCTAACGCTCACCAGATTAAATCTAAACGTTGCAGTATTTCCTTTCTAATTCTGGCTCTTCCCACTAGGATAATATTATTTGTCTCGTCAGTTATGTGCAAGTGTGAATGAGGAGATGTAGTTTTTACATGTGTGCAAACACCCACGGAAGCGCGGCCTGAGGGGCCAGGGCTCCGCGACCAGAAAAGCCCGCTGGATAATTAGGTAAAACTCATAATAAGATCCATGTCCATAGGGCCGGCGTGGCCCAGAAGACTTTTATTTGTGTGAATTCCTGGTACAAACGGGCAGGATCTCGCTCCCTCTCCGGGGAGGACCTTTGGGCCCATGCCCGGCAGGCCCCGAGCCGCCGGCGCAGCCGAGCGGGCGCTGAGCGGCTGCGACAGCGCGGCCACCGCGGCCACCTGCGCCCAGGCCTCGTTAGGCCCCGTCAGCCAAACCCGGTGTGGCGTCGCAGCAAACGGGCCCAATTAGCGGCCCTGAAAGCCCCTCTCCAGCCAGCCATCACTAACACTCCAGATAAAATTTGACATCTTCCCCCCGCTCCCCCTGCCCCGAACTCCAATTAATTGAAATGGTTTTACTCAGGGACCGTGGCTCTGCTGAAAAGGCAGAGGACTTTGCTTGGGTAATCAGCTTAAATACCGGCCCGTTTCCTGCCCTTGCTGCTCCAAACTTCCCATTTGGGACACATAAATACTGTTTTTATTTTAAAATCTTTTTTATCTCCAATTTCCTCCAGTTTTTCTGATGGGCCTCGTACACGACTCCATTTCAAAGGGCAGGATGGTGCAGCCAGTAAAGTGGATGCAGACAGGAACTTTTAAGTTCAATGTTGATTGCCTTTATTGGAAGGAGGGGGGTAACGAGGGGTTTCACATGAAAAAGGTACATCTTCTCTGACAGTCACAAACTGGTGATAATTAGGAAGAAATCCACAGTTTCATTTATTTTTCTACTGTTTAAACACTCCTGCCTAAACAAGCATTTTGCATCTTCTGCTGCAGTAGCAGAGCTATGATTTTTTTGAAGTTAAAAAGAGCTAACAGCTCATTGTGTACATTTTTATAAATATATTCACCTAAAGACATGCCAAGGCCTGGGTCAGCTGTAAGATAAGCTGTGAATATTCTGTAAAGACAGAAGTTATTAAAGAAGCATCTGTAATTCAGTATAATACACAATTCAGGTTCTGCCAGGGTTGGATTCTTCACTTTTCATGACTCAAGGGAATTTCCATGGAGTGGATGAGCTTTGTGGGGTCAGGGTCTTTGCTCAGGTGAAAGACTTGAGTGTGTTTAATTTTAGGAGGATAAACTGTGGAAATATTCCTGCACTTCAAATTGTGCATGCACACCATTTTGTTCCTGTATTCACCATGATTTTTTTGTCCATTGGACATAAACTGATGGGGAATTTTTTTTTTCTAGGAGGAGAATTTGGGATCAGTTCGGGATCACTGCTCTTGAGTGTGTTTGTTTCTTTTAAATAGCAAATATTTCTCTAACTTAACATTCTCTCTTTTTCTTAACAGGCAGCAGCAGTTGGTGTAGAGGACAAACTGCCCTCCAGCCACAATCCCATCCTGTGGCTGATCCAGAGCCTTGGGAATCAGGCACACGGTGACCTCCAGAGATGGCTACCAGCAGCAAACCCACAGGACCTGCACTGACACAACACAACAAAAATCAGTGTATCATCAGCCTCTTCCCAGCTCACACATCAGCTCTCAGAAATTCCCTCCCACCCTGTTTAGGGATCTGCTCAAACTGTCCCATGTTTTTACACCAGAAGCTGTGAAGTGACAGTGCACAGGAGTCAGGAAATCATTGATGGACTCCACACAGATTTCTGGAGGCAGGTATGTGTCACATTTTAGGGGAGCTTCATGCTCTCTTTAAAGCCCAAGTCAGGACCCATGTGGCTGTTCTGGGATTTGCATGGATTGTCAGGAATTGTGTTAGGAATGCAGTGTGTGGCTGGCAATCTGTGTTCAGGACCCAAATGACATCTCCTGAGGAGTGCTCAGAAGCTCTTCCAATGTCAAGGAGAAGTGATACGTAGGAAAATGGAGCTTTTCATCCCACCTTTCTATTTCAAAAGTGTTGATGTTAATAATATTATTTGACTGGAAATGGCTTTGGGTTCCACATCCAGGGTTTCCCATCCAACAACTGGACCCAGCTCATCTCCTGTAAGGCCACTAAATTAAATTGACAGACATGCAAGACTTGCATAAGAACTTCCAAACCCAAGCTTAGGAAGCTGATAACAGTCAAGCTTTCCTAAGCATGAACATGTTAAACAGTAATGGTTGAAGGGTGATTTTTTTCTGGGGGGAAGGTGGTGTGTTCTCCACCTCATAGCAGCAAAGCCAGGGTCCTGTTCCATCCATCCCAGCCAGCAATGGATAACACTTTTTCCTGACTGGGTTTTAAGGGAAAAGCATGCCCTGTTCCCAGGTGTTTGAGAATTGAAGAATTCCCTTTTTTTAATGTATTTTATTGATGTCAGTTTATACATTTATTACCTTTTTTTAATGTTAGCTCTGTGTGTTGCTATTTCTCCAGTGCCAGTTTTCTAGCACTGCTTAATGATGAATCACGAACATTAACTTTATATATGTGTAATGCTTTATATATATACACACATATATATTTATACAAAAATCTGGGTGGTGGCAGGGAGAGACGAATTCTGTCTGCTCCATCTTTTGTTTGGATCTAGTTGCCATAGAAACCCTGGGATCAATTTTGACAGACTAAAATACTACAAATTACGCTGTCGGATGACCTCATTACACGGGGCTGGCACGCTGGATTGCAACATTGCTGAAAGGAAAAGCGTGAACGCTGCAGGAATTTCTGCTCCATGGAAAAATGTTATTTTTGGATTCTTCAGGAAGGCGTGCACATAAAACCACCGGTTCCCTGGTGAGTGACTGGTCCCTGAGACCAGCACAACTTTCATCTTAATTTTTGGTTGTGGTAGGTGATGTCATATTTGGCCATACATTTCCTTAAGCTGCAACTGGCATCTCACTGAGAAAGACCTTCATGTTTTCCTGTTAAACACTGAGGTAACTGATTTCTTACAGGAAGACTGACAGAATGAGTCTTTTTTCTTCCTTTTTTGGTGTCATCTGCTACCTGTGTGCCTTGGTATTGATACAGCTGACATTGGTTTTGTGATTCTTTACCTTCCTGATCAATTGAGAAGCATTGAACTATGCCACGTGTCTCAAAACTGGTTCATGCTGGAAACAAATGCCCCTTTAATTCCTGAGCAGTGTGTTTTGGGATGGATTCTCAGTTGCAATAGGAGGTCCCTGCTGCACGGGGACAGCTGTGACATCTCAGGTTGCTCTGGGTTTTCCTTCCATCCCATTTCCATGCTGATATGGGCCTTGCAGTTTGACTCAGGGAAATGTCTCATGCAACTTTATTGCTGTGTAGTAAAGACACCTTTAGTACTGGGTTTTATTTAGACCCCTTTCTATGTTGGTATTATTTGTACACAGGGAAACAATGTGTGTGAGTTGGCAAACAGTTCAGCCATTCTGTTTTCCTTCTAGTCAAGAATATTACTCTTGCTCTATCTAATCTAGAGTTGTAAATTGCAGCAGAGGTTCAAATCCAAAACAAACATTCTGAAGAATTTGAATGGAATAGAGCCCCAATTTCCATTTCAATTCTCTCTCTGTTGTCCAATTTGTTAAACACAAGTGGTCCCATGTGCGAGTAGCATGACTGCCAGAAGCACTCTGCAGCCATCTGCTTTTCTGGTAAGTCCTTGATTATTTCTCTGTCCAGTTTTCTATCCAAAATTAGAACTGGCAACTCAATTGGTTGATTAATATTGTATTTTTTATCATTTAACATTTCCAGCTTATGGCTAGGAAATGTCAGCAAGGTCATAAAAAGCACGAGAAATGAACTTTCCTTCTCAAGACCAACTTTACCGTGGTAGAATTTTTTTATCACGTTGTTTCAGGTCTTCCAGAGCAGCAAGAGAATTGAACAGGAAAAGTTTTACTGTTTGTGGGTGACACCAAACTGGAAGGAAAAGACAAAACAGCCTGGATTAATCTGATGAGCTGCCTTGGACATGTGAAGAATTGCCAGGCACTGATAGAGGCATTCACAGTAGAGCTGAATTTAAAGCCAGCACTGCATATAAACCCCAAGTAGGGGACTAGAAGGAACCACTGGATCTTTTAGAGTCTGTGGTTTATTTGGGCTGAATTGCAGGGTTTAACACATTGGAAGCAAAGGGGAGGTTGGCTCTGAGGCACCCCAGAGGATTCCTGAGTCCTGGTGGATGTTGGGCAGAGCCTTTCCCTGTTTGTGCGGCTTCAAGGTTTCAGTTCATGAGTTACATCAGTTGACAGAAACTGAAAGGTTTTAGATGCTTCAAGCAGAAATTGTACTGGAAATGCTGTGAGACAAGCAGAAGGTGAGTGAGAACTCTGGGTCATTACCCTTGTGTTTGCTGCATTAACTCCCTGGTTCATGACACGGTGCTTTTGGATCGGAGCGTGCCGGGTGTGTCCGAGGTGGGAGCCAGAGGAGGCAGAAATGGATGAGCCCTGCAGTACAGGCTTGGCCAATGAGATTGCATGAGAAAGAATAACTCAGTATTCATTTGCTTGGGTTTTTTCCCTTTTTAAATAAATTGCATCAGAATTTTGGTCTGATCCAGCTGCATCTTGGGAAGTGCACCAGGTTTGCAGGACAGTGGTTGAAATCCCCCATGCCACACACAGAGGTTTGGTGTTTCCAGCACCACCTGAAACTACAGAGGGGATGGGTGAGGAAGGGAAGGGCTCACCTTGTGAAATATGCCATGTTCTGATGTTATTAATGGGGAGGGTGGCTGGTCCCTAACACAACCTCGACCCCTACATTCATCCTTGCTATTTTTCCTACTGTGTAGGCAACGTTAAAATGTTTATTTCAAACCCAAAGATCTCTGAAAACTGAGCTCTCTTTGCATTTCCAGAAGTGTCCTCTGACTGGTTGCAAGCCATTGGTTTTTGTGGCAGTGTTATGCAGAAAATCAGAAGTTCACCAGACTCTGGTGGTTCCAGGCTGGGCTGCAGCTCTCCATGCTCAGGCAGCTGATGGCCAGAGTGCTCAGAGCTGTCAGTGACAGGGAAAGGCAGACACTGTCCAAATACACAAAGATTCAACACATTAAAAATACTTTTGCTTCAAATTATAATGGAGGGGAATCATTTAACAAGTGATGGGGATGTGATGGGAGCCAGCAAGGCTGGGCTTTGCTAATGTCTGATTTAGGCTGTTGAAAAATGTTCTAAATCCACCAGAAGATCCTGAAAGTTCAGCTCTCCCCAGTTTAAGTTAGTAGTGACAGGATTGGGCCCTCTATTACTTTTTTATGTGGTGTTAAAAATTACTTTCCCATATTTCCAAAGCCATTATTGGATCTTTGCAAAGCACATTGTGAAATCATTGTGTGCATTACTCAAACTACTTGTCCATGTGTACAGTAGGGTAATACAATATTTGGGCATTTCCCTTTTGTTTGGCTTCTGCAAAAAAATGGCAAACTAAAAATCTTTCTTCCTCTTCCCATTTTGATTTTTTTCCAGGTAAAATGATGGCAGACATGCTCAGCTTCATTCCATATCACACACTGCTTACTGGAATAAGGAATTTAGTTCTCTGGCTTTTTACTGTAAACTTGGGTTTGTTTTTTATGTATTTGTGATTTCCTTTAAACCATTTATAAACAGGTTAGAAATACCATCAGAGCTCTTTATATGGGTTCTTTAGGAACCTTTCTGTCTAGTAGGAACAAACTATGACAAACAAACACCTCCAAACTCTTCCTGCTGCACAAATATTCACTGCATTGTTTAGGTATTCCTTTGAGCATTCTGCCTTTGGTCAAAATGTCCTAGTCAGGGATTTAACTGGTAATTGTTATTTCCAGGAAGATTTTGTTGTTATTGTTGTTGTAGAGTACAAAAAGAAGTTTTTGCAACAACAACAAAAAAGCAACTTTAAACATTTTTGGACAATTGTGAGAGTTGGGATTTTGGTGCCAGATGCAGAAGGCTGCAGGATGGTTTGCCTGCTCTGCCTGATCCAGCAGAGACAAGATGGTGATTCACTGTCCTGGACTTGGTGACCTCCAGAGGTCCCTTTACACCTAAATTATTTCATGGTCCTGGAAGGTTCCCTGTGCTGCTCTGGCTCTTGGGCCCCTGTCTGAGCAGATTCATCTCACTGCACCTGCAGAAAACCGAGGTAAAAGACCTGAGGGTCTGTGCAGGTAGCAGTGAAGGGCTGGCAAAAGTTCAAACTGATATCAAGGAGCAGCAGGATTGGGTGGTGGGAAGTGATAGTGGAAAAACAAAAAGGAGAGAAGGTTGTGGGACAGCTCTTTCAGCAGCATCAGCTGTTGGAGCAGCTCAGCTCAGTCCCTGTGCTGACCTAAAATGGGTTTGGTTGTGTCCAAGGTCAGCTGTCCCCGTGCAGGATGCCTGGACACCATCCTTGAGCTGTAATGCTGGCAAGAGAGGGTTTTCTCAATTCTTCCTTTGCCCTTTGAGAGCTTCAGGCTGTTTCTTGTCCTATACCTGTGCTCCACTCTGAGTGTTTCCTTGGACAGAGGGATGGAAAGTTCCTGAACAGTGCTGGAACATCTGAGTGCCTTGTGACAGCGCCACAGAGAAGGGAGGTGTCACCTAAGAAATGATCTCCCAGAGCTGGAGGAATTCAGCAGCAATGAACATTTTCTTAGTGCTTTCTTCCCTCTACATGTAAAATTCAGGCACCAGCTTCTCAGCTGTGATAACCTTTTCATGAACTGTCCTGGCTCTTATGCTTTCAC